GACTAAAACCAAAAGGATTTTAACATTGAGAGATTATTTTTGAGGAAAAAAAAATACATGGATGAAAATCAAAAACACGCGAACTTACAGGGACCAAAAGACTATTTAAACCTAATTTATAATTCACTGATTATAGTCCTATGTCCAATCTATTTTGTTCCATCATTATAGTTTAACGTAACTCATTTTTATAAAATCGACTTGTAAAGTGAGGGATGGCATTATATATAAACAACATTTTAGAAGTTCAATCACACCATTGGAGTTTTATTCCATTCTGGTGCTAGATCAGTCATCTCAAACTCATTCCTTAACACCTTTTTGAACTTAACTATCTCATATGAACAACTTAATTAGAGTACAGAATCTCCATTCCAAGAAAATATATCATGGTTTCTAGATCAGTCATCTCAAACTCATTCATCAACATCTTTTTGAACTTGACTATCTCATCTGAACAACTCCATGTTAGCAATATGTCATTAACATAGAGACCCACCAGAATCATATTGCTTTCAGAGGTATGCTGAACATAAACCCCATATTCCATCTCATATTTTTTGAATCCTTGAAGCTTGAAAACTGAATCAATTTTCAGATTTCAAACTCTTGGAGCTTGTTTCAGTCCATACTAGGCTTTATGCAACTTATACACCATTCATTCATGATTCTTTTTCTCAAACCATGAGGTTTTGACACATAAACTTCCTCTTGTAAAGGTCCATTCAGAAATGGAGATTTCACATCTAAATGCATCAGAGGTCAATTTCTATTAGCATCTATAGCAATCACCAATCTGATTGTTTCATGTCTAATAGCAGGCACAAACACCTCAAAGTAATCCAATCCAGATTTTTGTAAAAATCCTCTAGCAACTAACATTGTTTTGTGTTTGCCAATTGACCCATCTGGATTTAGTTTTAACTTGTAAACCCATCTGACATTGATGGCTTTATTTTCCTTTGAAAGTTCAGTTAACTCTCAAGTCTTGTTTCTTTCTATAGCCTCAAGTTCTTCTTTCATGACCTTCGGCCACACTTTCTTCTTGAGAGTTTCTTCAGTACTCACAGGTTCATAGTCCACTAACATGGAACACTGAATGACTTCTCCTTCAAAGTCTACCTCAGTATCTTGCAATATGTCAAACTCTGCAAATCTTCTTGGTATTTGTCTGATTCTTTGTGGCATCTGAACTTTTTCAGAATCTTCTTCAGATGTTGGACTACCTTTAGAAGTTCCACCTTCAGAGGTATGGCCACCGTCAAAGCTTGGATTACCACCAGAATCTGAATCATCGTCAGAATATGGATCAGAATCAGATTCACCGTGGGAGTCTCCTTCAGCTTCAGAGTGACCTTAAAACTCTGACTCATTTTCAGAGGCAGAATTTCTTTCAGAGTCAAATTCTCCTTCAGAAGTTAACACATGTGTCAACACTGCACTAGAGTTGGATTAAGACTTGTTCAATCCCACACTTTTGCTTCCTTCATAATGACATCTCTGTTGACTTCAAATTTGTTAGTGATTGAACAATAAGCCTATAAGCACACGTATTGTGGTACCTAATCAGCAATATTACTTTGTTTCTATCATCCAACTTTTTCTAGTAGCACTTGAAACATGTTTGTAACAAACAGAACCAAGTACTCTAAAATGACTCATACTTTGCTTATCTCCAGTCCATTTTTCAAAAGGAACAATTTCCTTCAGTTCATTGGTTGGACGCTTGTTGAGCACATGTTTTATGGTGACAACAACTTCTCCCCACAAGGTGTAAGGGATCTTCTTCTCTTTCAGCATGTTCCTTGTCATATCAAGCAAAGTTCTATTTCTTCTTTAAGCAAGACCATTGTGTTGAGAAGTGTATGGAGCTGTAACTTCGTGCTCAATTCCATTCTCCTCACAAAACTTCTTTAACTCTGTAGAGTTGTACTCACCTCCACCATCAGTTATGAGAACTTTCAGCTTATGACCACTATATTTTCCAGCCTTCACTTTGAACTTCTGAAACTCAGCAAATACCCCATGCTTAAAACTTGATGAGTGTTAGCCATGTCATTCTTGCGAACTCATCCACAAAAGACACAAAGTACTTGCTTCCTCCAAGTGAAAGTACTTCAAATGGTCCACATATATCAGAATGCACAACTCCCAAAGCATGTTTTGCTCTTGGAGCCACTTATGATGAAAATGGCAATCTAGGTTGCTTGCCTTTCATGCATGTCTCACATGACTTCTCAGGTTTCACGATCTTAGAAATGCCATATAATAACTTCTTAGAACTTATATGCCCTAAGCTTTTAAAGTTCAGATGCCCCAATCTCTTGTGCCACAACTCACTGTCACCTTCAGCACTAAGGCACTTAGTTTCAGCTGTCTCCAGAATCACCTTGAATGTTCTGTTGCTTCCATGCTCAGATTGCATAATCAACTTTTGATCAGAATCATATAACTTCAAGAGATTGTTCTTCATAGTTACTGAGAAACCTTTCTCAATTAGCTGACCCACACTCATCAGATTGCTCTTCATACCAGATACATACCAAACATCCTTGATCATAACAGTTTTTCCATTCGACACTCAGATTTTGACATTTCTCATTCCTTCACCATTAAGGTACTTCTCATCAGTACATTTGATATGTGTCCTCTTTCTAGAGTCAAAATCAATTTGTCATTGTTTATTGGGTTAAATATGTTTTTGGTCCCTATAAATATCTCAAATTTCATTTTTAGTCCTTATTAAAATAATAGCAAGTTTTAGTCCCTACAAAATTATTATGCACGTAGTTTTAGTCTTGTTGTTAAACCAATGTGTATTTTTGAATGATTATTTTGTATACATGTTTAGAACGTTATAAAAAGTTCCTCGGAAAAAAAGAAATTCAAAATTTGATTTCTAAGTCGAGATTTTCGTTATTTTTATCAATATCTTTTGAAATTTAAAAAAATCATATTTAATTCTTCTCATTTTAAAAAATTCTAAAATTTGATAAAGAAACATTTTATAGTATTCTAAACACGTATGGAAAATATTATTAAAAAATTTAAAAGTTTAAAGGTAATTAAATAGTTTTTAAAATTTTAAAAAATAACAGGGACTAAAACTGGATGAACAAAAAAAATTTAGGGACCAAAATTTGTCATTTTTTTAATAGGGATTAAAAATGAAATTTGAGATATTTATAAGGATCAAAAACATATTTAATCCTTGTTTATTTTCAATTAGGTGATTTAAGCAGGTAGTGTCCATATACCACCGGTCTACCAAATATCCACCATCAAATTCAAAATACATCAATAGCACAGGTTCATCATCAGAATCTCCTCTGACCATGTTTGCTTCTTATGACTTTCTTTCCTTGTTTGACGAACAATCAACAACAAAGCGGATAAACCTATTACAGTTGTAACACCGAACATTTCTCTTGTCAAACTTCTCTTTTTCCTTCTGATGTTTCTTCTCATCAGAGTCGGAGGCTTCTGAGTTTTGAGGACCACAATGTCTCTTCTTGGCCTCTAACCAAGACTACTTATTCTTCTTACCATAAGACGCTTTCAAAGCTTCTCTCAGTCAAACACAACTCTTGTGTCTCTAGATTACTCGGCAACTCTTCAATTCTCATGGTGGTGAGGTTCTTAGAATGTTCAATTGCTACAACAACGTAATCAACCTGAAGAGTAAGTGATCTCAGTACCTTTTCAATAACTGCTTGTTCAAAGAGTGTTTCTCCACAAGCCTTCATCTTATTTGTGATAAGAATCACTCTGAAAATGTAATCAGGTACCTTCTCATTGTTCTTCATGTTGAGATTTTCATATTGCTTACATAGACTATGAAGATTCACCTTCTTCACTAATGCATCACTGCCCTAACACTGTATCAGTGTCCCATGCAGCCTTCACCGTTGTTGAATCAACGATCTTCTCAAATACATTTGTATCCTCACACCGATGGATATAAAACAACGTCTTATGATCCTTCGTCCTTGTTTCTCTTTGTGCATTTCTTTGCACTTTAGTTGCATCTGCTGCAACCGGCATATAATTGTCATTGACAAGATCAAGAACATCTTGAACACCAAACAACACATGCATCTGAATCATCCACCGATTCAATTTATTTCCATCAAATACTGGAAACTTTGTGTTCAATATGCCGTTTTCGTCGTTCATCTTCGTTCTTGTGCAAATTCACTCAGATCTCACCAATACTCGTGTTTCCCATTCCGATTCTAATCTTCAATTCACTATGAATTGAATGAATCGAAATTAACCACACATGCCTCACGTATACTTGTGTTTCCTTGTGAATCTAACCAGAACTCTAGATACCAATTATTGTTGCACAAGGTTAAAGATGAAGATGAAGATGGAAGAAGAGAGAAAAAATAGATTTGTAACTAACTTTCAAAAGAAAATGGAAATTCAGTTACACTCTCAATAATGAAAACGAGATACAACAAACTGAACTGGCTTCAGTTTATATACTACATCCCAAATGCAAACTACACTTAATGCAAAATGAAATGTTATCTAAATTATGTAGAATTTGGATTACACTTCAACAAGTCTCGTCTACTAAGCAACAATGTATTTTGATTTTAAGCACAAAGATCTATCTACACCTATCAGAGATAATAATGAAGATATCAATGAATTTAGTTAAGTTTAAACATGTTTAAGTGTATGTTCGGAATTTTAGAAAACAACGACATGACTGCATGTTGAGACGAAGCTAACATTTATAGCTTCATGAAAATTGCAAGCCCTCAAATCTGACATTTCAAGTAGTTCAACAATTATATATGAAAGTACATTAATGAAGGAATGATTACAACTTACCCATATGAATTATTTATTTAATAGAATGAAGAATTCTTTTTTTTTCCTCATAAGCTAATGAAAAATTCATTACTTGGATTTAAACAGTTCAATTTGTGGATGAGCCAAGTTGTTGTGGAGCTTTGATCCGCTCCAACCATTGGAAATATCAGGTTTCACATGCGCTGCATAAAGTATCTCATTCAATATTACTACATGAATAATGTGTGACTAGAGGTTTCTACTAGCTAATTGATTGTACCTGATCAGGAGGGATTGTCAAAACCTTCAAGCTTTCAGTCGAACAACAGTAGAAGGTGAAGTGGGGGTACCTACAAGACACTCTGATGCCAAAGTGAGGTTCAGAACTTATGCAAGTAAGTGAGTATGAGAGTGAATGAATTAATACCTACCCTCTCAAGTGAGAGGGTATTTATAGCCCTCAGCGCTGGACCAAGATCTTCAATGTTGGGTCACGATGAGGTCCAACAACGAAGACTGTCAGGGCTTACGTGCGTATGGAGTCCAGCATGTGGCCTCCTCCCTGGTCAACTGCTCCGAGAGAACAGGTGTTGGACCCGTGATTCCCGGAGGACGGTTATGATGACGATATGGACACGTGGGCAACGTCTCCCTTGCGAACATGTGGGGAAATGCCCAACGGTCTCCAGCTTGGGCTGCATGTCTTTGGGCCTTGGGCAAAGCACATGCCTTAGGCAAAGGCTCTGATTTGTTCGAAAAAAGAAAAATCAAAAGAAAAAAAAGTCAAGAAGAGAGTTATTTCAATATTAGAAGAGAATGTAGAGAGAAAGCACGATGCTGAAAACAGGTTGCAGTAGATCTGCAGGAAACAAGTTTTGTATATCACCGGGTCTTCCAATTACGGCGAAGGTGAATTGTGCTAATAACACAGAGGGAAAAAAATCTCTACATCATTTCAGTTAAGGGAAATAAGGGAAGACTTAAGTGTCTCCCTTCAGGCTGCGTTGGTGACATGTTGATGGCCACCGAAGTCCAGTCTGAGGAGAAAGGTTTTACCTGCTGTCAACGAAAGCCTTGGCACTGAAAGGATAGTGTCTTTGAGTTCTTTGAAGATAGTGTTGGAGTCATTGTAAATCCTAGAAGGGAAAATGAATGGTTTTTTCATCATTGGTCCAATTCACAAGGAGTATGTTGATCTTCGGCGTAGGATTGCAAATGCTGCCAATGTCATTGTATGAGGGATTCCTGCCTTTTTTGGCTATGCATTTTACAATGGCTTTGACTGTTTTTCCCAAATTCATTCATGTTAGTCTCAAGAGTTTGGATTTATATTTGTAAAAATGTGGTTCCTGTGAAGATATTAAGAAAATTGTTGAAGTACATATATATGTGCCCTAATGTCTTGCAAGTTTAGCAGCACACAGCTTGTTGAGTTCAACCCCTGTTACACTCGGCCCTAATCTTGTTTTCAAATTCATTCCATATTTATGAACAAGTTTCACATGCACAAATATTTTTCACATAATGTTAACTAGCAGTTTAACATGCCTGTCAAGCACAAGATACTAACCATTACATAAGAAGCGCTTTATAAGAAATATAAAGCAAGACAAGCAAAACTTACATTAGTAATGAGCATATTCAGCACCTTGGTTCTGTTCTTAGAATGAGCGTGTTGAGATTAAAAAAATCCAGCTATCTGCACAACATGCAAAGTAATTTAGAAATATGTCAGTAGAATTAAGGCAGCAAATAGGGGGTATTGGGAGAATCAAAGTCGTGCATTGGTTATAGATAGATTCTAAATCCTAACCATCAAACGTTGTCAAGATACTCGCTTTTTTTAAATACGTGTCGACGTACTCATTATTAACACTTATTAGAAATACAAAAATAACTGAATAAATGAACATGATTAAGGAATAATAAGGAAATCAGCAATACCTTTCTTCATTAGAAAGCAATCTAGTCTTACAGTATATATGCTTTAATCTGCCAATTCTAAAATCTATTAGCAGAGATTCTTCAATTTCATGTACTTGCACTAGGACAATTGTACACATACATGGGAAATAACTACTTTTAGTCACCATTCTTTTAGTTAAAACAGATGAGATTTGAGAATAATGGCTTAGGAGCTTGGTAATGTGTTCCTTCTATTAATATAGCCGAATATCGTTTTTTATAGCCCTCGTATGATGCCAAGTGGGGCTTACTTTTAAAAAAATATGCTATCAACAGAAATGATTTTTTTTGTTACCAGTAATCTTTACAAGAACATAAACCGTCTTTGAAATGATGGAAACGAATAGAATCTCGAAGAATTATTTCTCTCTTCTCCACATTGGAGATGTGTTTCATTGTTGTATGGCAATCAGAGCAAACCCTCAAGTTCTTCATCACCTTCACTGGTGCTGATTTTGGTAAAGATATAATTCCAAAAGTTACGGCTAACTTTTCACTATGGTGATTCATTTCGGTGGCACCACTGTGATCTGTTTCAGAGATGCCCAAATGAAGCTTCTCATCATTGAAGATAATTTTCTTTATCTTCGCCAATATTTCTCCCAACCTTGAAAAAATCAGTTCACTCATTGGATGAGAACGATCATCCACCAAAAACGTATGAATTGTATTTCCTACCTCAATCCAACTTATACCAGGTTCCTTTTTAACTCCTCGATCTTGCATGAGCTTCCGAACCTCTAGAGCATGTTTCTTTTTCCCCACATCATTGTAAATGTTGTAAAGAAGCACATAAGATGCAGCTTCACAAGGTTCGAGCTCTATTACTCTGTCAGCAATACGCTTTCCCATGTCAGTGTCCTTATGGACCTTGCAAGCACCGAGCAAGGCACGCCACATTACCGGGTCATCCTCAAAACTGGAATCAATAATAAATCTCTGAGCTTCCTCTAGCCTTCCGGCACGGCCTAAGAGGTCAACAATGCAAGCACCGTGCTTTACATTAGCAGCAATGCCATAATCCTTCTTCATAGTTTCGTAGTATCTTAATCCTTCGGCAACGAAACCTCCATGGCTACAAGCAGTAAGGACGCCAAGTAATGTGATCGGGTTAGGCTCAATCCCAGAGATAGTCATCGACTCAAAAAGTCTAAGAGCTTCGTACGCAAAACCATGTTGTGCATAGCTGCAAATCATCACAGACCAGGACACTACATCAGGATTCTCTGTCTCTTGAAAAGTGATCCGAGCCGAATCTATGTCCCCAGACTTTGCATACATGCAAATCTGCGAGTTTTTAACAATAGTAAAATTCGCAACACCAAATTTCAATGCATAACCCTGGATCTGCTCTCCAGTCCTTGCAGCAGCCATATCTGCACAAGCACCCATCACACACGATACGATAAACTCATCAAGTTTCTTCCCATTAGCCAAAAATCGATAGAACAAAGACAAGGCATTTTCAAACTGTCCATTCCGAACACACCCTGCAATCATTGTCGTCCACAACACAAGATCCAATTTATACGTCATCTCAAAACACCTCAATCCATCTCCAATTGAACCAAAAAACGAGTAAAACTCCACCAACGAACTGCAAACAAACTCATCCCCATGTAAACCACTCTTAAAAACCTGACCATGAATTTGTCTCCCAACCTCAAAATCTCCAACACCAACACACGCCTTCACAATACTCGAGAACGTAAACTTCGAACACTTCAAACCCTCCCTCCTCATCTCACCAAAAACACCAAGCGCTCCCCGTGCATTTCCATAACACACACCACTCTTCTCATTCAAAAACCCAGCAATCATAACATTATACATAAAATCATTCTTCCAATCAAACCTCTCAAAAACCCTAACAGCATCCACTAAACATCCGGTTTTCGCATACATAACAACTAACCCAGTTCCAACCACCACATTCAAATCCAAACCAAGCTTAATTCCAAATCCATGAATCAATTTCCCAAAGAAACTATCATTAACACAACAACAAGCAGTAAGCACACTACTCAAAGTATAATCACTAAAACCAAATCCAAACCGATGCATTCTAATCAAAAGCTTAAAAGCCTCACTGCAACTACTCATACTACCTAACCTAACATAACCATTAATAATTGAATTCCAAGAAACATCATCCAGTGAATTATGATCAGAAGAATCGAACAAAAACCTCGCGGTTTCGATTCGGTTGCATTTGGAGTACATGTTGATGAGGGAATTGAGAGATGTTTTGTTGAATCCATTGACGAGGATTGAGGCGTGGATTGTTTTTCCTAAACGGAGGTTTTTGGTGGCGGCGCAGAGGGATAGGATTCCGGTGAGGTTGTTGGAGGTTGTTGCGGTGGTGTGGGGAAGCGCGTGGAGGGGGTTGGAGTGTGAGGAGAATGAGAGGAGTGAACCGGGTTTTTTTATGGAGAGGTGAACCGGGTTTAAAGAGAAAGGTTTGGTGATGGAGGGAATGGGGTGTTTGAAAGGTATGAGTTTGGGGAGATGGGACATGGGTTTTTGAAGTAAGGAGGAAAGAACTACGAGAATTCTGATTGTTGTAACTTTGCACCATATACATATATCAGAATATTCATTTAATACTATTATTTAGTTATTTGATATATTAAAACATATTTAATATATGTTAATAAATGTTTCATTATACTTAATATTATTAATTTATTATTTAAATATTTAATTCATATTTAATAAATTATTTATTACATATATTTAATTTAAATTGTTTAAATAATATTATTAAATTGTTTATTATATATTATTATACTATTATTTATTCAATATATTCTTAAATTATTTATTATATATTGTTCCAAGTCATTCACACTATTATTTATTATTTATCACACTAACATTTTTAATTAACATTATTACATGTATATTTATATATAATAATACACTTTCTTTATAATAAGTATATTACATGTTTTTGTATTATAAATAATAAATAATTTATAATATATAATAAACAATATATATATATATATATATATATATATATATATATATATATATATATATATATATATATATATATATATATATATATATATATATATATATATATATATATATATATATATATATAATTGTACCTGACCAGAATGGATCGTCAAGGCCTACGAGCTGTGAGTTGAGCAGCAACTGAAGATGAGTTGGGGTACATGCAAGACACTTTAATGCTAAAGTAAGATTCAGGGAGAGTGCTAGCAAGTATGAAAGTGTGAGTATGAAAGAATGAATACCTGACTCTCTCAAGTGAGAGGGTATTTATAGCTCCCAGCGTTGAACCAAGGTCTTCAATGTTGGACCACGATGAGGCCCAACAATGAAGACTACCAGGGTTTACGTGTGTATGGAGTCCAGCACGTGGACTCCCCTCAGGTCAACTGCTCCAAGAGAACAGGTGTTGGACCCATGATTCCCGGAGGAAAGTTATGATGGTTGTGATACGGCCACGTGGGTTACGATCCCTAACGGACACGTGGGAAGTTGCTCAATGATCCCTGACTTGGGTTGCTTGTCTTTGGGTCTTATGCAATGGTGTTGGATTGGGCATCCCCATCAGTGGGACAAGTGTGGGTTCATTCTAGATCAGGAGCCCCCCAAGTTATTGCCCTTAGGTGAAAGAGTGATAACTTAAGTTCAGCTTTATGGCCGGGGAGAATTTGCTCAAGAAGGGAAATTGTAGTCCTCTGACGGAAATGAGTTGTTACCCGTGTCGGAGACAACCTGTTTGACCGTGTCGGGGATCTCGTGGACACGCGAGCTGTGAGACCAACTGGGACAGTTGTTCGTCCAGTCCTCGATGGAAGTATATAGGCTACGGGGAGCTTCCATGGACTCTCTTTCGACGTGCCTGTCTTCAAGGGGTTGTTGTGATGTCGAGCGTTATTTTGTCCTCGAGGTGGAGCATGATGAATATGTATGTATGCATGTTTTAGTCATGGTGTCGAGCATTTCGCTGTGTGAGGCGTATGCATCGTTCTCGCGCACGACGTTTCGTGTTAAAGTCGATGACGTGTTCATCTCTTGAGAATGGATATGTGGCTGATTGTTTGGCCACGTGGTTGTTGCTTTGGGGTGCCATCTTTTCATGAGGAGTCCAAAAGACCCAAACTAATGATGACTTTTCGTGATAAACCTCGTGGGGTGTGAGCCACCTATAAAAAAGGGACCCCGTAGTTTCATTTATCATTTCTCAAGTTTTATTCTGCAACCTTCCTTGCCCACGCGTGAATCCTCTCCTCTCAACTTCTTCTTAGAATTCTTCAAGGCATTCTTATCCAAGTAAGTCATATCCTCCTAACAACATGTTTTTCTTTAGAATTTTTAGATTAAACGCTTAGTTTTTGTCTTGATTGGAAGAATCTTGGATGAACATTCATGGGTTCTGCGATGAACATCCATGAACGTCCATTGAAGTTCATGATAGATTGATGAACTTCATGACGTCGGGGTCGATTTCCCCGAGTAGTAGGGATTGATTCGGACACCTTGTGTAACACTCTAATTCTACCCGATAATTATAAATCTAAATCAGACTTATAAAATTCATACAACTGAATCAGTGCCACAAATTCAACTTAAAACTATAGTGTGTTAGAAAAATATACGGTGAAAAAAGAAATCGTCATTGAAAAAACATACGCAATGTCTTGATCTCATTTTCTAGTGGAGGAACTACACTACTTTTAGAAGCCTGGGCCAAATCAAAAGCAATTCCTTTTCTTTTTCAGAAAATAGAAAATTTTAAACGCAAACACCATGCCTAACCATACATACAAAGTTGATCCCTTGCTTTTAATTTTCTCCTCTTCTTTTTTAATTAAAAGGTGACCCTTTATATAATAATTATCTTATAGTATTAGTGCTGCCCACGACATATTTGGATATAGTTATAATGAAATTATATTATTGTAAGAATTTGAATAAAACAAATAAACAAACAAAACTTTTGTATCCATGGATATGCAAACCTTAATTTTGTCCCATGTTTCTAAGTAGTAACAACGCACTACGCATATAAAAAGAATTAACGATTTTATTGATTCACAAACACTTTTTATGGTGCCATTTATTCAATTTACATTGAGATTTCGTTTATAAAGGGAAAAAAACTCTTATGTGGACGTGTGTCTTCTCCCTCAAACTTTTCATCTTTTACGAAAAAAATAAATGTTGCAAAGCAATACCTAATCATCTAATCATGGTAGTTAAATTAAAATGAAATAGTAGAGAGCTCAACTGATTTGAGATTGTTGATATAAGGATTATAGTAGTGTGAGATGTTGTGATTGAACCTAACTCTTTTTTATAGGCTCGATTTATAGGATGAAGATTGCTTCTATTTATAATTACATGTTCGGACTATTTATTATTCTATGTGAGATTTTTAACACATCTCTTCATGTTTATGATTGAATATTTAGAGTGTGAAAATAAATGGTGGGTGACTTGGTAGCAGATGATCTATTGAATCTTAAACTAAGTTTTGATATAATGTTAAGAATGTGTGGTTTGACCTAACTCAACTATATTTTTTAATATTGTATAAAGAGACTCATTTAAAGTCTGGTAGACCATCTGCTATCAGGTTCCGACTAGTGGGTCATCGATGATTTATTTTCACGTTTGTGATGTCTAATCATAGACGTGATGTGGCGTATTAAGAGTCTCATATCAAATAATATATGGTATGAATATATGCTTATAAACAAGGATAATCCTCACCATACAAACCGATTTTATATGATTGAATTAGGTGCAACCACGTTCCTTAACAAGGTCCATCATTCAATCTCTATCAAAGATGTCAATATAATACTAATAGTCTTGAACCGGCTAAATGCCTAAAAAAACAAATCCAACCAAGAATGCCCATTCACAAGGGCCTAAATATCCAAAGTGTCATCACAAATAAACATATGAGACCTCGTCAAAGAGTCGGAGGCCAAATCCAAAACATCATCGTGAAAAACATGTAATCAGATAGAACCTCGTCAAAAAAAGTCGGGTATCTAATCTCAACTACTCATACATCGACTACCGTTAAATATTATGGATGACACAATACTTATGACAAAATAATATATTGAAAGATGTTAATCTCTTAATTGATGAATTAAAAAAAGAAAGAAAAAGAAATGAGTGTTTTAGAGTAACACACATCCTTATTGTAATCTAACTCACGTTCAAAGTGGTCCTTTTTCCTTTTCCAAATCCAAAAAAGATGGCACCTCATCACAACAACTCACCACAAAACCGCACTTGCTTTGCTTTAATCCCAAAAATCAGCATCTAAGAAAGATAAAAAGGGACTAAAGATATCATAATTTATGAGGATTTAGCTAAGCATTATGTAACACTCCTTCATTCTTTTCTATAATACATATAAACCACAAATATATACTAACACCAACACAATCATAGTGTACCCTTTTAAAGAATTTCAAATATTTTAAAGTCTCCAATCCAAAAGCTCCACAAAAAAAGGAGAAAAAAGTGAGCCTTTAGTTGTTTTTCTACATCTCTAGCTATTAGGGTGCAAAATGAAATGAGATTTTAAGAACTAGTTGTAATGGAACCTCCTAATGGTTTTTGGTCTTCATTATGGAGCACGTTGTGCTTTCTCCCATACTTCATCAGCCTTTGCATTCTAGGCACCATTAAAGGTGATTTTTTCTTTGAATTTTTTCCACGTTTTATTGTTTCTTGCATTTACATTTATATATAAATATAAATAAATGTGAGTTGTTTCTTGCATGTATTTCATTTTGAAAAATATTATATGTTTCAAGATTTAACTCTTTTTTTTAATAATTATTTACATGTTTTGTTGATGATCAATTACTTAGATTTCTGTTTACTATGACTGTTTTCAGGTGTTATTATCTGTCCCATAATATGCTTAATAATGACAATTGCAAACTCAACTATCATACTTGGTCTTTGGTGCATACATATTATTTGGACATATTACTGTGTTCTAAGGTACAAGAACTTCAACAAAAATCTATAATATTTTTCAATTTATTTTTGTGATTTTTTTATTGATTTTTCGAACTTATTTCAGATGTAAACAATTTGGACCACTATTGAAATTTGTGATGTGCACAATTCTACTACCAGTGATTTTGATTATATGGCCAATTGTTGGAATTTTTGGAAGTATTATAGGTGGTGTTGCCTATGGATTTCTTTCACCATTGTTTGCTACTTTTGAAGCTATTGAAGGAGAAGACAACAAAATTTTCCACTGTTTTATCGTATGTTTTGTTTAATTATTGTTTATCTTACGAAAAAATCGTAGCGTTGTGTTATTCTGAAAAAAAGCATGTTGGTGTCGGTGTCGTGTTTCTAATGTCCATGCTTCATATGTCGTAACCATCCGAGTTGTTGTTACAGGATGGAACATTGAGCTGTATTTTGAAAACTTTTGATATTGTGAAGGATGTAAGAGATGCATGCTTCCATACTTATTTCTCCATCATGGATGATCTGAGACAAGATGAACCACCAAATGGAAAATATTATGAGATCAGGTTTCATTTTATGATATTTCTTAACCAATGAAATCACATCTTGCTAAGTTACTATGTTGTGAATTTTTTTTTGATGATTTTTGATGCAGGCCAGATTATCTACTAGATGCTATTGTAGCTGCGATTCTTGGAATCATAGTTGATGTTCCAATTATATCGTTGGTTGCGTTATGTAAAGTTCCATACATGCTTTTCAAAGGCTGGAACCGGTTGTTTCGCGACCTCGTTGGTCGCGAAGGACCTTTCTTGGAGACAATATGTATGCCTTTTGCAGGGCTTGCTATCCTTCTATGGCCGCTGGCTGTTGTTGGCGCGTTACTGATATCCGTGATAGCAAGCATCTTTCTCGGCGCTCGCGCTGGAATCATTGTCTATCAGGTTACTTATAGCTTTTTGCATTGTGGTGTATGAAACACTGACACAGACGTTAGATACGATACTAATGCTGACAGTACATGAGTGACAATGCAGGAATCCTCTTTTTTGTTTGGGCTTCGATATATTGTTGCAACCTTGTCGCTTTACGATGAATATAGTAATGATGTTCTTGACATGTCGGAAGGATCTTGCTTCCCAAGGTTCCGTATTTCATTCCTTCCTAATACATATTGTTTTTAAGATTTTTAGCTAATGATGCTCTTGACTTGTGTTTGATAGGCCTAAATATCGACGAAAAAAGATCGAAATATCACAGACACCTTCACGATCAAATTCCATCTCAAGAACTAAGTCCTTAACAAAGACTATTTCATGTACAATTACTCTTACTAATAACATAGCCGAGTTGAAACCATTTGAGGTAATTTTTAGTGATTTAGATTTAAAACAATCATATTTTTTTCTTTTGATGTAGTCGCAGATTGTGAATTGTCTAATCAAAATCAAATAATTGACATTTCAACTATGTATTTCAAGTCAAAATACACAGTTAAAATATAAATCGTCTGATCTTGATCGAACAATTCACAATCTGCAAATTAGGACTCCATAAAATACGAAGGGCTTTCAATTTTTAACTCTAATATAAGATATATAGTTATTGGATGGCTTGTGCAAGGAATGTCATAAAGTAGGAGAAACATTGGTTTCTCAGGGACTAATAACACATGATGACATACAAGAAGCCATGGTTGGGAAAGAGAGTAAAGTCATTAGTATTGGTTTGCCAGCTTATTGTCTTCTTCAAGCACTTTTGCGTTCTATAAAAGCCGATTCTCACGGTATATTGATAAGTAAGTGAAACACTTGTTGTAATAAATAGCTTAATTAATTGCTTATAGCATAAGTGTTTATATATATTCATAAGTTTGTTACTTCCTCAATGCAGCTGATGATACTGAACTAACTACGACAAATAGACCAAAGGAGAAGTTTTTTGAATGGTTCCTTAATCCACTTTTGATCATTAAAGATCAAATCAAAGCCGAAAATCTTTCGGTTTCGGAAGAGGACTACCTATGCAAATTAGTTCTTTTCAATGGTGATTCTGTAAGGATAAAAAATTTAACTTTTGGTCCTCCTCCTGAATCCGAACACAAACTCGCCGAACTCGATGCATTGGCTAGAAGGTACATTATCACATTAAATCAAATCACAACTATATTCATTATAAACTAACTTTACATCAATATTCAATGAAAATTCAAGATTTTGCCTTGTTTTCTCGATGCCATCACAAAGTAGAGTAATAACTTATATTACAATGCAATGAATTCTCACCGAATATCAGGATAAAATCGTTATTTTCAATAACTCTTGTACTTTTTATTGCAAAGGCTTCGAGGTATCACAAAATTTATTACAAGATTTCCAACATACAAAAGGCGATTCGATATTCTCGTGAACACATTATCTGAAGAGCTTGCTGATAAACATGGAACTTCAACAATAATGAGATCAAAAAGTGCTTTTCCTAAGATTTTTAGTTTGAAATCATTCAAAGTTAGCAAAAGTAATATTTCTGATCTAAAATCTGAAGATTCAGAAACTTCGTTATAAGAATATATATCATCATATTCTTATAATGCATGTTATGTGTATGTAATTTATCATAAAATAAAAATAAAAATATAATATCATTATCATGTATATATTTGTTATAACACAAAAAAATAGAACGTGACTAAACTACTATGCTCCATGACCCATTAAATTTCGTTGTATTTTTTTTTTCAGCTTGTATATAACTATTTTCCCTCCAATTTTCCTATATAAAATATTTTCAATTAAGTTAAATTTTTTTTATAAAGTCAAATTAATTACCGTATATTCATGTAACCACCCACTATCTCCATTTCTCATCCAACTTTTGCAAAACCAACTTCTCCACTTTCTCAATCAACATTTCTATAAATTAAACTAACCAATTAATTTCTCTAAATTTCCATTTCACCATAAAACAAAACTCTTCCACTCTCACATTACTATTCGCACCTCCAATGGCTTCTTTTACTTTCTCTTTGAATTCCACAACCCTACTTGTGTTTCTCTTGGCTTTTTTCTCTTGTCTACAATTTTCCCTTGTAGATTCTTATGAATTTCAAGTTGGTGACCTAAAAGGTTGGGTTGTTCCACCACCCAATGACACTGATATCTACAATATTTGGGCTTCTAACTTTAGATTCCAAGTTGGTGACTCCATAAGTATGCACTACTTCTCACTCTCTTTAATTTCTATTCACGCATTCATCAATAATTAGGGTTTTAAATCGTCACGACTAGAAAAAATCGAAATTGTAATTTTTTTTCTTTTTTTAAATTCTTCACTAAGTATTAAAAATTTTAAATTTCATGATAATATTTATAGTAGATGTAACTTCGATTATCGTCATTTTGTGATTGCAAATGACATGTCACTTTGTTATCGCTATGATAATCGCAATCATAGACTATTTTATTTTATTTTTGAAAACAAATTGTATTTACAAACATATATTTTAGAGTTTTAGAGACATAAAAAACTTGTCGTTTATATGCAAAAATTGACTATTTTTTTTGTGTTTGTAGTTTTCAAGTACAAGAAGGATTCAGTGATGGAAGTTGGAAAACAAAACTACAATGATTGCAATGCAACACAACCAACATTTTTCTCAAACAATGGTGACACAGAATTCAAGTTTGGTCATTCAGGAACATTCTACTTCATAAGTGGTGCATCAGGACATTGTGAGAAAGGACAAAAAATGATTGTGAGAGTGATGATTCAAGATCTTCATTCAAAATCTTCTGCCTACCATGTTCCTGTTTTTCCCATTGGTGTCTTTGTTTTTGCATTTGTTGCTTCCTATGTAATTTGAGTACTTTAAGAATTTCATTAGATTGGTTTCCTAGGAATAGTGCAATTTTTCTTCATGTTTTTTAGTTTTGTCTCCATTTGTTTCTATGTTTTGGTCTGTATAACTAAGTTCATAGGATTTGTTTTTTGTCAAACAAAAAAAAGTTCATAGGATTTGTTTGGAATATTATTTCATATGTATTCTATTACAATTTATAATGTTTGTATTTTATTTTTCATTTCTTTAAAAATATTGTCTAAAAGAAGTAACTGTGAGTTAAAAAGAGTTTGAAAGTTGTAAAATATAAAGAAACATAGATAGTGGAGGTGAAAGAACAAAAGAAATATTTTTGCTATGTTATATAAAAAATAAATGTTGTTGAGAATAAATAAATGTTGGTCGTAAATAATAAATATATTTATGCTGCCAATGTAAGTAAATCAACAAAACTTTATTGGCTCAGTGGTTGTAGTAATGTTTAGAAATCTATGGGAGAAGGGTTTGAAACTTTTGTATAAACGGAATTTTGTTTTCTAATTTTAAATAGTTAATTTTTAAATTTTTTAAAGTAAAATTATAATTAAAAATTAGTAAAAATAAATAAAAATTAAAAATTGCATATGTGGCATTGACGCTTCATTCATTAGGTCAATTGCATATCATCAAAATTTAACTTTTAATTAGAAGAGAGACAAAATCCTCAATAAAATATAATTTAGGAACTAAAAATCGCGATTTTAAAATAGAGGGATCAAAATTAAAAAAATGTGAAAATAAGGGAACCAAAATTATAATTAAGCTTTTTTAATTTTAATTCATCTAAATTTTTATTTTAAAAAATAAATACATATAATCTTTTATGGTATAAAAGTAGTCAATTAAACCACTTAATATTTGATGAAATAAAATAAATGAACCGCAACGCCGAATCGGTTCAACTTGAACCTATGATATCGATATATCTATTCGGACTATTAGACTTATCCAACGATCCTATGAGATGATATGTGACATCAATGCCTGAAGGATGAATTAGTGACATATGAGATAATAGATCACATTCATGGTTTACAACTTAGCATCTAATTAGATAGAGGTCGGTTAAACACCAAGAACCGTTTGGACAAGATAGATATTTAGATTTTTATGGAAAATTAAGATAAAATAACAAAACAATACGAAGTAGATATGAAATTTCTCACACTTGTAGGAATCTTGAGGATCAACAATAAATATAAGACGATAAATCGAATAAATAAAGACACAAAAGAACACTGGTATTTTTAACATGGAAAACCTCTCAAAATGAGGGTAAAAATCATAAGTCGTCCAGATCAAAGAAATAGTTCCACTATAATTAATTGAGTGTACAAGAGAGTCTTAAAGTGATTTACATAATAGTGATAGCAACGATAAATCACAAAGCAAACTATTTTACAAATAATAATCAAAAGCTGAAAAATTACTCAAATCTGCAGCTTTAGCGCGAAGCAATTATTTCTCAGTTCAGAATTCGTTTTGAAGATAGGTGTTGCGAACCTACCCTCCAAATTTGAACTCGATATGATGGCTAACGAATCATGGATCGTCGATTTAGTGAGAATGGTGCAGAAAAAACGGGAATGAGTTTCACTCATATTTTCTCTCTTTTTTATCCTTATTTTCTCACTATTTCTGCAATCCTAAATTGACACTCTCTACTTAAATAAGTGAGACAAATGGACTATTCGTATTTGGGTCTTTCTCCATATAGGAAGGGAGCCTAAGCCCAATAAATCTCCCCCTCCCAACTATGTGGAGGAAATCGTCAAACCGACGATATCACAATAAGCTTCAAATTTTTCTCTTGGTAACGCTTTAGTCATTATATCAGAACCATTATCATTTGTATCAACTTTAGCTAACTCCAACAACTTAGCATCCAAAATATAACGTATCCAATGATATCCCATATCAATGTGTTTGGACCTATTATAAAAAGTCGGATTCTTACCAAGATGGATAATGCTTTGACTATCAACAAGTAACACATATTTGTCTTGAACAAAACCAAGCTCCTACAAAAATTTCTTCAACCAAAGTAACTCTTTGTATACCTGGGTAATGGCTATGAACTCAACCTCTATAGTAGACAATGCTAGACACTTTTACAATCTGAACTGCCAAGCGATATTCCCCTGCAAACTTAATCATGTAGCCCAAAGTGAACTTTCTGGGATCAATGTCTCCAGCCATATCAGAGTCAGAGTATCCCACTAGAGTAGACTTATCTCCTCCAAAGCAAAGCCTCATACAAGTAGTACGATGAAGATACCTTAAAATCCATTTTACAATATTCTAATGCTCTATACTTGAATTTGACAAAAATCTTCTGACTGCACCAACAACATGTGCTATGTCTGGTCTTGTACATACCATTGCAAACATCAAACTATTCACAACAGACACATAAGGAACACATTTCATATTAAACACTTTATCTTCAATTGAAGGACTTTGATTAGAACTCAACTTGAAATGAGTAGCAAGAGGAGTGCTACCACCTTAGAACTTTCCATTTGGAATCTTTACAAATTTTTTTTGATATAATATTCTTGTTATATCCAAAGTTTCTTCTCTTTTCTTTCACGCATGATTCCAATGCCAAGAATTTGTTTAGCTGTTCCCATGTATTTCATGGCAAATGACTCTTCCAACTGCTTATTTAACCCGTTAATGTTAGAAATATTTTTCCCTACAATAATCATATCATCAACATATAACAACAGGACAATAAAGTCATCATTAGAAAATTTTCTAATAAAGACGCAGTGATCTGAAGTAGTCTTCTGGTATCCTTGATCACACATAACATACTCAAACTTCTTGTACTATCTCCTTGGAGCTTGCTTCAATCCATATAGACTCTATATCAATATACAAACATGATATTCTTTGTCTTTAACTTGAAAATCATCGGGTTATTTCATGTAGGTCTCTTCCTCCAAATCACCATAAAAGAAAGTCATTTTCACATCCATTTTCTCAACCTCTAAATCTAGAGTAGCAGCTAAACTAAACACGGTTCTAATTGATGACATCTGATAACGAGAAAACATATCATATAATTACCACGCTTTTTACCGATTTTATATTTCATTAAGTCGTCTAACCCCCGATTATTCCGAGATTATTTATCTTTTTACAGGTATAACATTTGTCAACTCAAACCAATGGAAAAGGACAACATGAAGAAGGCTAGACAATAAACAAAGAGAAAAAGAACTAAAAAAATGCAAAGTTTGGATTTTTGGAGCAGTGACGGTCGTCACATCCTTGTGACGGGCGTAACACCCCCCAACTTGGAGTAACGCTTGTCACACATCACTGACGAGCGTAATGCGCTACTTAAGCGCGTTACGACCGTCACCCACCTGTGACGACCGTCACGCGCGTGAAGATGGGCGTTGTGAAGAGTGGAGACGTGGGCAACGCAAGGGCAGACTCCTTCTGCTATTTTTCCTCCACCCACTAATAGTGCTCCCTATATTTTCTCCATTCAACCTTTCCTCAAGACTTGGCAACTGCTATTTTTCCTCTGCTATATATATGTGTGTAAATGCAACGTACCAGGGGTCGAAGGAATTTTCTCAGAGCAAAATTTATTATTCTTTTACAATTATTTCTACTTTCTTGTTTTAGAGTTTTTCTACGTTGTTGTAATTTTCATTCCAAGCTTTAGTT